GTGAGTGAGTGAGTGAGTGAATGACCATATCAAATTTTTGGATGAGTCATTTGGGGCAGAGGGAGCAGATTTATTTTATAGTTTTTGAAAATGATTTGCGGTTCTTTATTTCTACGATCTTGCTCTGTTTTTCTCTTCATTACTTAGCTCTCCAGTCCTTGATTTTGACTTGAATGCCGCTGTTTTTCCCATTTGGAGAATGTCATAGTTCAATTTTCAGTTTTGGGAGAATCGCTTCAGTAGAAATCTGACATGATGCAGCTGCTGTTATACCAGGGAATGGGCTGGAAAGAAAACTGTCGGATAAAAATGGGTTTGGACGTCATGCTCTTGAAGTTGTGGGAACTTTTCTCTAGTTGCTGTGGACAGGCACTGCAATAATATGATTTCCTATAGCATGTCTAAAGCCATTTATGTGCCTCCAGAACATCTGTGTGTCATTTTCTTTTCCAGCAAAATCGGGACCTAGACATGTTCATCAATGCTTCAAAGAATTTCAACCTAAACATTACTTGGGCCACCAGTTTTGCAGGTAAACAGGGCTCCAGCCCAGAGACTCAAGTGAATAATTTAAGGAGTTATTTAAAGGTGCATCTGATCCCTCTACAGTGCATCTCATTGTCAACAAGGAACAGTATGTGGGAGTAGCTTGCTGACATATGGATAAATCTTTGTATTTCTTTAGAAATGCACCTTCCCCTCTCCCTCATGTATCAGTCTTTTCTCCCTTAATTTGATCTTCTCTCTTTCCATTCTCATCATCTCTATTTGCTTTTCCCTCTCCATCTGCCCCCTTACCCAGCGGGAACCCAAGCTGGAGAAGAGATCCCCATTGTGTCTAGGAGTAACATCAAGGAATTCAAGGACAGTTTCTCCAATGAGAAGTTTGACTTTCGCAACAATCCAAACATCACGTTCTTTGTATATGTCAGCAACTTTACTTGGCCAATAAAGATACAGGTAAGAACTGTCGCCATGTTGCAATGTTTCAATGTCTAGCACTGTCAGGGTTTATATTTATTAGTGGGCAGCCCTGGCAAAGCATGGCATTATGCGTGTTGTGCTCCTTTATCTGTCTCCTCTTAAGTATTTACCTTTGTCCAAGAAAGAAAACTGATGTTGTCCCTGAAGAGACAAGAGGTGGATCACCAACTTTATCCTCATAATCTTAAAGAGCTCAGTAGAGAACATGCATAACAGAGACCTGTTGGACTTATCTCATGGAGATATCAAAGCAGAAGGCACAGCCAGACAGAACAAAGCGAATTCTGTTGAACTGACTGAACAGAGCTTGTCTAATGGGGTCGTCATAGTCCCGTGGCTTTCATGCAGTCTGACCCTGTGGAGAGACACTACTGAGTGTCCAAGAAAAGGTCTGCATCTGCTTCTGTGCATAAGGATGGAAATCTGCTCCATTTGCCATTGTCGTTCTGCGTTCGCCCAGTGCTGTTTGCACAGCATATCAGTTGCCGTGTGTGTTTGCTCGTACTTTCCTTTCTTGTGGTTAAGCCGAGCGTGACCCGATGTGACAGTCGCACCTCTTGAGCAGTACAGACCATGTGAGACGCAAGGCCCATCGGTGGAGTCACTTTAAATGGTCTAATAAGCGTTCCCATTGCTGACACTGGCCCGGCTGCTGTAGTGATTTACCGGTGTAGCCTCCTGTCCTGGTCAGGTGGATCTGGTCAGTTTCATAACTAGCCATCTGAGTTCTGTTTAAATGTGGCAGCTGTGTCTCATTGCCCCCCCTCCCCGTCATCATGATTGAATTTGCCGCTTGCCCCTCCCAGGCATCTGACGTACTCTTGATGTGCCTGTTCTTAGAAGCACTGAGGCTGTGGTTTGTTGTGTCCTAGAGAGCTGAATACTCACTCTTTCCATAGAGCACCTTGGCTATGGATGAGCATAATGTACAGCTCTACCTCAACTGATCCACTTATATAGTGAGAACCAATCAAGCCCAAAAATGTATTAGGAATGTTTGCCCAACCGGTCATAAGGCAAGGCTTTGTCCCCTCCCAACGATTCTCCATTTTCCCCTGTTTCTGTGTGGCACTGGTGGGATTTATGTGTTGGAAGTCAGATGAAAAGGCCGCAGAAGGACGCAGCTCGTAAGGCATTGACAGGTGCCGGGAGTGTTCAGGCAGCCCTGCTAAGTTCACAGTACGTCTGAAAGGCAACTCTTTCTTTATTCGCTGGTTTTCTTTGACTGTTAGGTCATTTTTCCAGCTCAGGCCAGCTTAGGGTTGTTTTTGCCTTTCTAATGGACACATAAGCATATAAGCCTATTACATATTCAGCTGTATGTTTTTATGCTGTCTGGCCAGCTTCCCGGTTTCTCGCCAGCGTGCGGCCGCTGTCTGTCAGGGGGACAGAGCTCCTCTCAATCTGGCGGCCTCAGGTCGGGTGCCTAAAGATTTCTGAGCCTCACTGGGGATGGGGGGGCGGCCTTCCTGAATGGGCCTCTCTTCTTTGGTGATGCAGCTAGTGGGCATCACTCCAGCCTCCCCACACCTCCCTCCCTGGCAGAGGTTGACAGGCTCAGAAGGGCTCTCTCATACCAGCTCCCTGCCTGGTCTGGCCAGTTATCACTGCTATAAATCAGCGGGGGGGGGGGCATGTTGGTGGCATTAGGAGAGGGGTTGGTGGCTAACAAATGTACAAATCAAGTGTTGTCGAAGTGCTGCTGCCCCTCAAGTCACTGCAGGCCCAACAGTGAGGTGAGGAAGCAGGCCGAAGTGGGGGGGGGGCTACCCAAGGGCATTTCTCCCGTAACACCTGCTCCGGAGTCCACCATGGGAACCGACTCATGGACCCTCCGGTGCTGAGGGGTGGACAGAGACATCGCTCATCGCTGTTCGTGTTGCCGGGATGGCCTGTGCACGGGGGGCTCTGCCTGTTCCCTGGCTGGCCCCCACCACAGACTTGGCGCTGCCTTTTTCCTCCCCTCTCTCTCTCACTCTCTCTCCCCCACAAGCGAAGGCTGTAAACCAGGGGCTGTGCATCACGCCTGCTTCCCCAGACCTTACTGGCAGCACACATCTGCTGCAGCTCAGTCCTCCTCACTCCCCTGCCCACCTCCTTTCTGCCTCTTTTAAAACTTCACTTGTTTATCTCTGAGTTCGGTATCGGGCGTCCCGGGATACCATGGAGGTGTACCGTCTGTGACGAGGTAACGCTGTACTCTGCACCAGCCTAGTGTGGGCCGGGGTGCGCGTGCTGAGGGGAGTGAGGGACCATGGCTGCCATTGTCATTGTGTGTGTGTGTGTGTGTGTGTGTGTGTGTGCAAATGACTGCTATGTGTTTTTAATTATGCTTTGTGAACACAGTGTGCATGCCCTTTTTGAAGACACAAAATGAAAGATTTTCGCTTATATGAATTTAAGAATCGGGGCTTCCGGGTACCCTGTCCTGTTTGGTCTCGCTTGTTGCCTGGACAGGCTTGACATTGTTACCTGGCTGATTTGGTTCTGGTGGAGAAATCAGAAGAAGACGGGCTTCCAAACTTGGCTCTGGAGAATGTTCACTTGGTCGGTAGTGAAGCTAGTTGTATAGTTAGAGTGGGTGGTACATATGTTTTTAATCACTAGCTTTGCCTGAGCCACATTTTTACCCCCATGTTACCTTGGTTACTATATACAGTTGGTTTATTTCTTTGCCTTTACGGGTATTTTCCAAAAGTTAGACAGGAGAAGCTCTGTGCAAAGTAGACGTGTTTCCATCTTGAAGCCGGCATGGAAAATATTGCTGTCAGATTATTTGTGCAAGGTTATGTAATTTATTCAATTTATCTGGAGTCCTGGAAGTGTTGCAACAACTTTGGCTTCCCATGATGATGAGAATTGAGTCAGATTAATAATGGAGGCTATTCCGCAGGATCATCTGACAGCGTGAGTAATTCTTGTGTAGTGAAAGTTAAAACCAGTGGCAGTGTAGCGTGTTTGGGGAGCTTTATTTTGTTGTTCCATTAATCTGTATTATTATTTATTATTATTATTATTATTATTATTATTATTATTATTGTTGTTATTTTTATCAGATATCACTCTTAATGTGCTAAAGCAAAATTAGAAGTTTAGCTTGAGGTTCCGATGAAATGTATTTCTCAATTGAGATTTTGTCCGAGATGTAATTTTCCAGAAACGTAATAGTTTCTGTAAGTGAACAGAGTTGTTAATGGAGCACATGTACTGCACGACTGCACGTGTACTCACGTGTACTCACATGTGGGAATCTCATGCCATAGCACATGCACATGCATGGAATTGTATCGTCTGTATGGATTCCTAATAGCTATTTCAGTTATCCCAAGTTTATTCTGAAATTTGCGGATGGTTTGCATTGTCAAATACAGATCAGTGTTTTGTCAAAGTGAGCCTAGACCTGGATTCAGAAAACAAGACTGCAAGTGGAGTGCAGCCCTCTGCAGCCAAGATCTGGGACATCGACAAGATAAAAATTAACACGTAGACTGTACCACGCATACTTTAATATGCATGCCCATTTTGTTTTAATTTAAAAATATTGTGTATATTATAAGCTACCTGTCAGTGTATAATAAATGTAACACATTTAATTGTTGTTCATTATGCCTGGTGTTGTTACTCATTAAAGATCAGGCATCAGTCATTCTTACCGAGCTAATGCCTGTTGGCTACGCAACGGAAACATTTCGGTCTTGTTCTGATCATGACCAGGCTTTACTGGCTAATGGTGATAGGAGCTGATAAGAGAACCTGTTGACGCGGCACCAGACAAAAGGCTCATCCAGTAACTGCCACACCATAGTTACTTTGTATGAATTTCTTGTCATTGAAACATGACCATCACAATACTAAAGACATTCTTGTAATAAATGTTTCTGGTACGTTATGTCTTTCATGACCATGTCACGAAAGTGAAGTAGGCAGACATTGGATTTTAAGGCTCATGATATGCATTGGTTTGTATTGCTGGTAGAATCTGCAAAGAACCTGCCCATACATTCCTTGAGTATGTTAGGTACTCTGAGAAATATGGGGATAGTTACTGTCATGGCTGTTAAGTCTCTAACACGTGCCTCAAATTGTATGAAAAGTGAGGCCATAGGATTCTTACCTTATGAAGTCATGTTCAGTAGGCAGTCTAGACAGCCCATGGACATTACTTTTGGTTTACCTGTCAGAGAAAGGCATCTGAAGGTCCATCGACAGTATGTGACAAACTTACCGACCTAGCTATTGAAAACCCTCAGAATGCAGTGGGTCGGAACAAGAAAAGATTTGGTGAGCATGCCATAGTGCACATTAGACAAAGATCTGTTGTCCTGTGGGCTCTAATCTACAGATGGCAAGGTTTATCGTAGTCAAACAACTGACTTTGATCAAGATGGGGTCGTGTTTCATATGCTGATTAAGAAGGTCCTGACTATGAGGATAATTGTCTGCATTTGAATGATAGCAATGAAACTGACCAGAATTTGTCTTGTTCCTAAGTCAAGTGAACCTAATTCTCCTTCTACCTAAGTTCATCCTCCCAGCTGAGGACCACTTACTGATGGGGAAGAGACATCCACAGAGGAACTTTTTGTATTGTATTGTATTGAAACTTGATAATGGTTTGCATTGTATTTTGTAATGTTGACTGTTGAGCCTACTCCTGGATTTGGAAAACGAGGCTGAGCACTCAAGTGAACTTAAGCTCTGTGCACTCAAGACACTCAGAAGATAAACACAACTCCCCCACGCCACCTATCTTATACAGCCTCACCATGTGCAACCCCATCCCACTCCCCTCCCCCACCAAAAAAGGCACCCAGTTGTTACATTATAAATGCTTTATGCAGAAAATTTGTATTGCACTTGTAACAGGCTAAGCAATTCCGAAAATGTCTACATTCTTTTGTCGAAAAGCGTGTTTTTGCGAACAGATTAACAGAATACAGAACAGCTAAGAATAAACAGAAGACTGATTATGACAC